ACTGAGATCTGGTGGCCATTGTCACCAAGACCTGGTAGCCAATGTTACCAGGATCTGGTGGCCAATGTTACTGAGATCTGGTGGCCATTGTCACCAAGACCTGGTAGCCAATGTTACTAAGATCTGGTGGCCAATGTTACTGAGATCTGGTGGCCAATGTCACCAAGACCTGGTAGCCAATGTTACCAGGATCTGGTGGCCAATGTTACTGAGATCTGGTGGCCAATGTCACCAAGACCTGGTACCCAATGTTACCAGGATATGGTGGCCACTGTTACTGAAATCTGGTGGCCATTGTCACCAAGACCTGGTAGCCAATGTTACCAGGATCTGGTGGCCAGTGTTACTGAGATCTGGTGGCCATTGTCACCAAGACCTGGTAGCCAATGTTACTAAGATCTGGTGGCCAATGTTACTGAGATCTGGTGGCCAATGTCACCAAGACCTGGTAGCCAATGTTACCAGGATCTGGTGGCCAATGTTACTGAGATCTGATGGCCAATGTCACCAAGACCTGGTACCCAATGTTACCAGGATATGGTGGCCACTGTTACTGAAATCTGGTGGCCATTGTCACCAAGACCTGGCAGTCAATGTTACCAGGATCTGGTGGCCAGTGTTACTGAGATCTGGTGGCCATTGTCACCAAGACCTGGTAGCCAATGTTACTAAGATCTGGTGGCCAATGTTACTGAGATCTGGTGGCCAATGTCACCAAGACCTGGTAGCCAATGTTACCAGGATCTGGTGGCCAATGTTACTGAGATCTGGTGGCCATTGTCACCAAGAGCTGGTAGCCAATGTTACTAAGATCAGGTGGCCAATGTTACTGAGATCTGGTGGCCAATGTCACCAAGACCTGGTGGCCATTGTTAAAGAAACAGAAAGTAATGGGAAAACTGAGCACCAGCACCATTTACTAAATTTCTTTAATATTCTTTAAATGATTACAAGGCTCTCTCTGATTGGACAAGGTGGTGATTGTGACATCACTGCACCTGCTCCCCACCTTGTCCAATCAGAAAACACCTTGTATTCATTAAAAATAAAATCCCCAGATGCCCCTTAGGTATAAGATATGCATATCTACATTGGTACAAACTGACTCAATATAAGTATGCAATACAGCAGAAATCCTTTTCTTCTCTATTCAAAATTAAAAACATGTTTCAGTTAGTTTAGACATAATTAAAGCAGCATTAAACCCAAAAGCAAACATTTATTATATTACAGCTTACCAATTCTTACATGTGATGGCTGCATTCGTTTTCTTTTTTAGGATATTTTTCTTCTATTTTTATCTGGTGATCCAGCCAGCAAGTCTGTTACTTTTCAAAAGCACAAGCTCTCCAGCAGAATGTATACGTTAACATGGATGAGACAAACCACTTAACACTGGCAGGGGTGCTTACTATGATCAGGTTTTATTTATTCATGTAAAACCTTTAAGGAATAAAACTGTTTGCTGTAACTGCTTATAACGTGTGAGCTGGAGTCTGGCTTCAATTTGTTACTGTATCTAAATCTGCTAATGCATAAAATACTCCCCTTCCCTTGGATTGACAATGCTGCTGTCCAAAGGTGCCCCCTGTGCTCCTTCATCCGGTGTGGGGGCGCTCTAATATAGGAGGTGTGTTACTGGCCAGATCACCAGGTGAAAACAGAGGGGAAAAAGCCTAAGAAAAGAAAACGAACGCAGCCACCACATCTAATGGTTGGTGGCTGCGATACAGTATATTACATTTTTTGATTTGGGGAATAATACTACTTTAACAAGATTATTTAATTCATTAACTAATAAGGTATTCTTAATTAAGAGGGACTGCCTAAATGTGAGACCCTACTACAGTAAACTGCAAAAGGTATCATGGATATTAAGTATTCCTTGCAACTATATGTAAATATGACTCTTTTAATATGGACAGCACAATGCTTTACAGCACCGGTATCCTGGGTTTAAATGCCACCAAGGACTTGTATTTGGTTTCTGTGCCCCATACTTTAGTAGGTTGATCAGCTTTTATTCATCTTTGACCTTCTGAGTGTGAGAGTGCACTAGGGAAATTAGATTGTAAGCTCTTTTTGGATTACGCATTGATGTCAGTAGTTCAATGTTCTCTCTAAAGCACATTGACATGGTATCAGTGCAATATAAAAGAGTAACATACACTATATAAATGTATACATCTTATTTTGTTTTTATCATTTCTTAATTATCTATACCAGTGGTCTTCAAACGGCCGGCTGCAGCCCATTGCTTGCCTTTACCTAGCCCTTGAGGTACTTTTCCTCCCACTGATACAAGGCACTATTCCTCCCACTGACACCAACAATGGGGCATAATTCATGCTACTGACATCAGAAATGGGGCCCACTGACACCAGCAATGGGGCCCTATTTCTCCCACTGACACCAACAATGGGGGCCTATTTCTCCCACTGACACCAACAAGAGGGCGCTATTCCTCCCACTGATACCAATGATGAGGCAGTCAAACTGACACCAATGGTGAGGCACTATTCCTCCCAATGACACCAACAACAGGGCACTATTCCTCCAACTGATACCAACAACAGGGCACTATTCCTCCTCCCACTGACACCAACAACAGGGCACTATCCCTCCCACTGACACCAACAACAGGGCACTATTCCTCCCACTGATACCAATGATGAGGCACTCAAACTGACACCAATGATGAGGCACTATTCCTCCCACTGACACCAACAACAGGGCACTATTCCTCCCACTGACACCAACAACAGGGCACTATTCCTCCCACTGACACCAACAACAGGGCACTATTCCTCCCACTGACACCAACAATGGGGCATAATTCCTGCTACTGACATCAGAAATGGGTCCCACTGACACCAACAATGGGGCCCTATTTCTCCCACTGACACCAACAACAGGGCACTATTCCTCCCACTGACACCAATGATGAGGCACTCAAGCTGACACCAATGATGGGGCACTATTCCTCCCACTGACACCAACAACAGGGCACTATTCCTCCCACTGACACCAATGATAAGGCACTCAAGCTGACACCAATGATGGGGCACTATTCCTTCCACTGACACCAACAACAGGGCACTATTCCTCCCACTGACACCAACAATGGGGCATAATTCCTGCTACTGACATCAAAAATGAGTCCCACTGACACCAACAATGGGGCCCTATTTCTCCCACTGACACCAACAACAGGGCACTATTCCTCCCACTGACACCAATGATGAGGTACTCAAACTGACACCAATGATGGGGCACTATTCCTCCCACTGACACAAGTAATGGGGCACTATTCCTCCCCCTAATACCAAAGATGCATTGTTTACTCCCACTGACACCTGGACAATTTCAACTCCCAATGGCCACAGCCTTGCCCCCCTAAAGTCTGAAGGACTGTAAACTGGCCCTTTGTTTAGAAAGTTTGGAGACCCCTGGTCTATACATTTACTAGATAATGAAGTTAAATTGGTGCCTCTGAAGGCTGAACTGTTATGTACTCAGGGCTTTTTTTCAGTGGGAACGTGGGGGGAACACAGCTCCGACACTTCCAGCACTGAATGAATGTAATGACAAGGGGTTCTGTGGTTTGTTGGAGGGACTATTGATACTGGATGCTGGGGGATATATTTTTGCATGGTGGTCTATTGCTGCTGGGGCGGGATCTATCGTTGCTGGGACGTCACTTGTTGCCAGAAGGGGAACTGTTGATGTAGGGGTCTATTGTTGCTTGCTGATTAGAGATCTGTTGTTGCTGTTGGAGATCTATGTTGCTGGGATAGTATTTTGTTGCGGGGGTCCATTGTTGCTGGTGGGGCTGTTGTTGCTGGCTGCAGGGGATCTGTTTTACTGCTTTTATTGATACCATTGACAAATTCCATACAAAATGATACTTGGCTCTGTATTCTCTATAAAGGGCAGTACCGGGAGGTGGGTAGGTGGTGGAACCAAGGGACAGTGCTCAAAGGTGGGTAGGGGCAGAAACAAGGGTTTACTCAGATGGGGGGAGTTCCTGCACCTATTTTCTGAGAGAAAAAGTCCTGTTAATACATATGTATAGTTCTTATAGTGGTTTTAGCCCAAAAGCAAACATTTATATTGCAACTTACCAATTATTAGGTGTGATGGCTGAATTAGTTTTCTTTTTTAGGCTTTCTTTCTTGATGTATCAGTTAAAGTGTTACTAAACCCGGACACTGTATTCCACTATATCTGGCCTCCCAGAACCCTGCATTCACTATATCTGGTCTCCCCGGACCCTGCATTCACTATATAAGGTCTTCCTGGACCCTGCATTCACTATATTTGGTCTCCCCGGACCCTGCATTCACTCTATCTGTCTCCGTCGACCCTACATTCCCTATATCTGGTCTCCCCGGTCCCTGCATTCACTATATCCGGTCTCCCCGGACCCTGCATTCACTATATCTGGTCTCCCCAGACCCTGCATTCCCTATATCCGGTCTCCCCGGACCCTGCATTCACTATATCTGGTCTCCCCGGACCCTGCATTCACTATATCTGGTCTCCCCGGTCCCTGCATTCCCTATATCTGGTCTCCCCGGACCCTGCATTCACTATATCGGTCTCCCCGGACCCTGCATTTACTATATCGGTCTACCCGGACCCTGCATTTACTATATCCGGTCTCCCCGGACCCTGCATTTACTATATCTGGTCTCCCCGGACCCTGCATTTACTATATCAGGTCTCCCCAGACCCTGCATTCACTATATCCGTCTCCCGGACCCTGCATTCACTATATATCTGTTCTCCCCGGACCCTGCATTCACTATATCTGGTCTCCCCGGACCCTGCATTCACTATATCTGGTCTCCCCGGACCCTGCATTCACTATATCTGGTCTCCCCGGACCCTGCATTTAACTATATCCATTCTCCCCGGACCCTGCATTCACTATATCCATTCTCCCCGGACCCTGCATTCACTATATCCAGTCTTTCAGGACCCTGCATTGCTATATCCGGTCTCCCTGCATTCACTATATCTGGTCTCCCCGGACCCTTCATTCACTATATCCAGTCTTCCTGGACCCTGCATTCACTATATCCAGTCTTCCTGGACCCTGCATTCGCTATATCCGGTCTCCCTGCATTCACTATATGTGGTCTCCCACAGTACACACACAATATGGAAATACCGTTTCTCATCAGCAGTATATAGCAGTCTTGTGACTTCTATCAGTTCCAGCAGAGCACTGGTTAAAGCTTGTAAGAGTAATTTCCATTCTCCTATGACTGTCCTATGAGCCTGCATGACCCCTGGCCCTCTGTCTGGACAGTGCTGATTGGCCCTGTGCTGATCACATGCACCCTCCCAAAGAAAAAAAAAACTCTAGCAATACACACCAAACTGAGCATGTGCAGAGTGTCTCCAAAGACTCTGTGTTATCAGAAGACAAGCCGGGGACAATGGAAGAATGGGGGGGATCAGAGAAGTCAGGTTCCACAGTGAGTACAACAAGCGTCCTTTACTGCATACACAGACTGATTTCACTGTTGTTGGTTTAGTAACACTTTAACAAAGTTGAGAATTTATGTAAATTTTTTTCTTTTTATTCTTTTCATTTTTTCTTTATTCCAAAAAAAAAAAAAAAAACTGTTGCTGTAACTGCAGTGTGAGCTAGAGTTTGGCTTTGTTAATGTATCTAAACCTGCTAGTACATCAAAACACTGCCCCCCCCCCCCCCCCCCATTGACAATACGGCTGTCTGCTGTGCCTCCTGTGCTCCTTCATCAGAGCTGTGTCCTACTAATACAGGAAGTGTGTCTTTAGCCAGATCACCAGGTGAAAAATAGAGGGGAAAGAGGGAGGAGAGAGGATAGGAGATGTTGTTGAAGGTGGACTTACCCTTTAAAAAAATTAATTGACTTTTATGTTTTCTATGACTCATAGGTGGCATCTCTATAGCTGCCTGTCAATGGCTGAGTCCGCTGTATGTGATCTATGACCATAGGTGGCGTCAATGGCTGAGTCCGCTGTATGTGATCTATGATTCATAGGTGGCATCAATGGCTGAGTCCGCTGTATGTGATCTATGATTCATAGGTGGTGTCAATGGCTGTGTCCGCTGTATGTGATCTATGAGTCATAGGTGGCGTCAATGGCTGAGTCCGCTGTATGTGATCTATGACTCATAGGTGGCATCAATGGCTGAGTCCGCTGTATGTGATCTATGATTCATAGGTGGTGTCAATGGCTGTGTCCGCTGTATGTGATCTATGACCCATAGGTGGTGTCAATGGCTGAGTTCCGCTGTATGTGATCTGTGATTCATAGGTGGCGCATCAATGGCTGAGTCTGCTGTATGTGATCGATTTTATTTCAGGGTACTTATATAGTGCTGTCAGTTTACACAGTGCTTTACATATATATATATTGTACATTCACATCAGTCCCTAAACCCTCAAGGGGTGTACACTCTAAGGTCCCTAACATCACATTTCATACATATACATACTAGGGACAATTTTAGACAGGATCCAATTAACCTACCACCATGTCTTTGGAGGTGGGAGGGAAACCAGTGTACCTGAGGAAACCCACGCAGGCACAGGGAGATAATGCAAACTCCAGGCAGGTTGGGTGCCGTGGTTGGGATTCGAACCAATGACCCTAGTAACTGCCAGGCGGAAGTGCTAACCACTAAGCCCATGTGCCGCCGCGCTATGATTCATAGGTGGCGTCAATGGCTGAGTCCTCTGTATGTGATCTATGATTTCATAGGTGGCGTCAATGGCTGAGTCCGCTGTATGTGATCTATGATTCATAGGTGGCGTCAATGGCTGAGTCCGCTGTATGTGATCTATGATTCATAGGTGGCGTCAATGCTGAGTCCGCTGTATGTGATCTATGATTCATAGGTGGCGTCAATGGCTGAGTCCGCTGTATGTGATCTATGATTCATAGGTGGCGTCAATGGCTGAGTCCGCTGTATGTGATCTGTGATTCATAGGCGGCGTCAATGGCTGAGTCCGCTGTATGTGATCCGTGACTCATAGGTGGCATCAATGGCTGAGTTCGCTGTATGTGATCTGTGATTCATAGGTGGCGTCAATGGCTGAGTCTGCTGTATGTGAACTATAATTCATAGGTGGCGTCAATGGCTGAGTCCGCTGTACGTGATCTGTGATTCATAGGTGGCGTCAATGGCTGAGTCCGCTGTATGTGATCTATGACTCATAGGTGGCATCAATGGCTGAGTCCGCTGTATGTGATCTATGATTCATAGGCGCCGTCAATGGCTGAGTCCGCTGTATGTGATCTGTGACTCATAGGTGGCGTCAATGGCTGAGTCCGCTGTATGTGATCTATTATTCATAGGTGGCGTCAATGGCTGAGTCCGCTGTATGTGATCTATTATTCATAGGTGGCGTCAATGGCTGAATCCGCTGTATGTGATCTATGACTCATAGGTGGCGTCAATGGCTGAGTCCGCTGTATGTGATCTATGATTCATAGGTGGCGTCAATGGCTGAGTCCGCTGTATGTGATCTGTGATTCATAGGTGGCGTCAATGGCTGAGTCCTGCTGTATGTGATCGATGACCCATTTTGGTCAATGGCTTATATAGTGCTGTCAGTTTACACAGTGCTTTACATATATATATTGTACATTCCGCTGTATGTGATCTAACCCTCATAGGGGTGTCACATGGCTAAGGTCCCTGTATGTTCATACATATACATACTAGGGACAATTTAGACAGGATCCAATTAACCTACCACCATAGTCTTGGCGTCAATAAGGTGGGTTTCCGCCTTGAAACCAGTGATACCTGGAGGAAACCCACGCATAGCACAGGGAGATAATGCAAACTCCAGGCAGGTGGCTGCCGTGGTTGGGCTGTCGAATCAATGACCCTAGTACTGCCATGGCGGAAGTGCGCTGTATGTGACCTAATGCCCATAGGTGGCGTCAATGGCTGAGTCCCCCCCCCCCCCCCCCCCCCCCCCCCGCTGTAGCATGATTCACTCATAGGTGGCGTCAATGGCTGAGTCCGCTGTATGTGATCTATGATTCATAGGTGGCGTCAATGGCTGAGTCCGCTGTATGTGATCTATGATTCATAGGTGGCGTCAATGGCTGAGTCCGCTGTATGTGATCTATGATTCATAGGTGGCGTCAATGGCTGAGTCCGCTGTATGTGATCTATGATTCATAGGTGGCGTCAATGGCTGAGTCCGCTGTATGTGATCTATGATTCATAGGTGGCGTCAATGGCTGAGTCCGCTGTATGTGATCTATGATTCTAGTGGCGTCAATGGCTGAGTCCGCTGTATGTGATCTATGATTCAAGGTGGCGTCAATGGCTGAGTCCGCTGTATGTGATCTATGATTCATAGGCGGCGTCAATGGCTGAGTCCGCTGTATGTGATCTATGATTCATAGGTGGCGTCATTGGCTGAGTCCGCTGTATGTGATCTGTGATTCATAGGTGGCGTCAATGGCTGAGTCGCTCTGTATGTGATCTGACTCATAGGTGGGCATCAATGGCTGAGTCCGCTGTATGTGATCTGTGATTCATAGGTGGCGTCAATGGCTGAGTCTGCTGTATGTGAACTATAATTCATAGGTGGCGTCAATGGCTGAGTCCGCTGTACGTGATCTGTGATTCATAGGTGGCGTCAATGGCTGAGTCCGCTGTATGTGATCTATGACTCATAGGTGGTGTCAATGTCTGAGTCCGCTGTATGTGATCTGTGATTCATAGGTGGCGTCAATGGCTGAGTCCGCTGTACGTGATCTATGACTCATAGGTAGTGTCAATGGCTGAGTCCGCTGTATGTGATCTATTATTCATAGGTGGCGTCAATGGCTGAGTCCGCTGTATGTGATCTATGATTCATAGGTGGCGTCAATGGCTGAGTCCGCTGTATGTGATCTATGATTCATAGGTGGCGTCAATGGCTGAGTCCGCTGTATGTGATCTATGATTCATAGGTGGTGTCAATGGCTGAGTCCGCTGTATGTGATCTGTGATTTCATAGGTGGCGTCAATGGCTGAGTCCGCTGTATGTGATCTATGATTCATAGGTGGCGTCAATGGCTGAGTCCGCTGTATGTGATCTGTGATTCATAGGTGGCGTCAATGGCTGAGTCCGCTGTATGTGATCTATGACTCATAGGTGGTGTCAATGGCTGAGTCCGCTGTATGTGATCTGTGATTCATAGGTGGCGTCAATGGCTGAGTCCGCTGTACGTGATTATGATTCATAGGTAGTGTCAATGGCTGAGTCCGCTGTATGTGATCTATGATTCATAGGTGGCGTCAATGGCTGAGTCCGCTGTACGTGATCTATTATTCATAGGTGGCGTCAATGGCTGAGTTCCGCTGTATGTGATCTATGATTCATAGGTGGCGTCAATGCTGAGTCCGCTGTATGTGATCTATGATTCATAGGTGGCGTCAATGGCTGAGTCCGCTGTATGTGATCTATGATTCATAGGTGGCGTCAATGTGGCTGAGTCCGCTGTATGTGATCTATGATTCATAGGTGGCGTCAATGGCTGAGTCCGCTGTATGTGATCTGTGATTCATAGGCGGCGTCAATGGCTGAGTCGCTGTATGTGATCCGTGACTCATAGGTGTGCGCATCAATGGCTGAGTCCGCTGTATGTGATCTGTGATTCATAGGTGGCGTCAATGGCTGAGTCTGCTGTATGTGATCTGTTATTCATAGGTGGCGTCAATGGCTGAGTCCGCTGTATGTGATCTGTGATTCATAGGTGGCGTCAATGGCTGAGTCCGCTGTATGTGATCTATGATTCATAGGTGGCGTCAATGGCTGAGTTCGCTGTATGTGATCTGTGATTCATAGGTGGCGTCAATGGCTGAGTCCGCTGTATGTGATCTATGATTCATAGGTAGTGTCAATGGCTGAGTCCGCTGTATGTGATCTGTGATTCATAGGTGGCGTCAATGGCTGAGTTTCGCTGTATGTGATCTATGACTCATAGGTGGCGTCAATGGCTGAGTTTCCTGTATGTGATCTATGACTCATAGGTGGCGTCAATGGCTGAGTCCGCTGTATGTGATCTGTGATTCATAGGTGGGCGTCAATGGCTGAGTTTCCTGTATGTGATCTATGACTCATAGGTGGCGTCAATGGCTGAGTTTCCCTGTATGTGATCTATGATTCATAGGTGGTGTCAATGGCTGAGTCCGCTGTATGTGATCTGTGATTCATAGGTGGCGTCAATGGCTGAGTCCGCTGTATGTGATCTATGACTCATAGGTGGTGTCAATGGCTGAGTCCGCTGTATGTGATTTATGATTCATAGGTAGTGTCAATGGCTGAGTCCGCTGTATGTGATCTGTGATTCATAGGTGGTGTCAATGGCTGAGTCCGCTGTATGTGATCTGTGATTCATAGGTGGCGTCAATGGCTGAGTGTCCGCTGTATGTGATCTATGACTCATAGGTGGGGTGTCAATGGCTGAGTCCGCTGTATGTGATTTAATGATTCATAGGTAGTGTCAATGGCTGAGTCCGCTGTATGTGATCTGTGATTCATAGGTGGCGTCAATGGCTGAGTCCGCTGTATGTGATCTATGATTCATAGGTGGCGTCAATGGCTGAGTCCGCTGTATGTGATCTATGATTCATAGGTGGCGTCAATGGCTGAGTCCGCTGTATGTGATCTGTGATTCATAGGTGGCGTCAATGGCTGAGTCCGCTGTATGTGATCTGTGATTCATAGGCGGCGTCAATGGCTGAGTCCGCTGTATGTGATCCGTGACTCATAGGTGGCATCAATGGCTGAGTCCGCTGTATGTGATCTGTGATTCATAGGTGGCATCAATGGCTGAGTCCGCTGTATGTGATCTATGATTCATAGGTGGCGTCAATGGCTGAGTTCGCTGTACGTGATCTATGACTCATAGGTGGCGTCAATGGCTGAGTTCGCTGTACGTGATCTATGACTCATAGGTAGTGTCAATGGCTGAGTCCGCTGTATGTGATCTGTGATTCATAGGTGGCGTCAATGGCTGAGTTTTCCTGTATGTGATCTATGACTCATAGGTGGTGTCAATGGCTGAGTCCGCTGTATGTGATCTGTGATTCATAGGTGGTGTCAATGGCTGAGTCCGCTGTATGTGATCTATGATTCATAGGTGGCGTCAATGGCTGTGTCCGCTGTATGTGATCTATGATTCATAGGTGGCGTCAATGGCTGAATCCGCTGTATGTGATCTGTGATTCATAGGTGGTGTCAATGGCTGAATCCACTGTATGTGATCTATTAGGAAGGGACTGTGTACAGTCTGCTGCACTTTTCCGGAATGTAATGATCTGTATTATTTGCTGTTTCTCTTCTTTGCATAAGTAAATGATGTGTAAAGGGGATTATTAATAGGAAGATTTAAGGTTTACTTCTGGTAATTACATGTAAAGAATCTTCTTCATGCTGGTAATCCCTAACCGGAGAGAGCTGACATATTATTATTGAATTAGTCTTCATATCACAAGTGTGCCTGAAGCCGATATGTGGAAGGGGCTGTTTGCCTCGCACGGTTTTTAACCGGCTCCTCTCCTGGACTGGAATGGCTTACTCTGATTTCACTGCACACTGTGAGCTTCTCACCATGTGCATTAGAAGCTGCAGCAAGTCATACAGAGCCCACCTCATTTCCTGGCTGGAGGTCTTCCAGCATCATCTGGCACTTTCCTCCCCGGCCTGACTATCCCTGGCCAGCCCTTTTTATTCATAGGATTTCAGTTCCTTCAATTATGGAGGCTGGAGGACATCCAGCATCATCTAGCTTTATCTTCCGTTGCCTGACTGAACCAAACACATTACAAGTAGAAAATGTTACTAAGGTGAGGATGCTTGGAAGACATTATTGGCCACTATATGCAGGGGCTGATTTAAAGTGGTTCTAAAGGCTCAAGGTACTTACCAGAGCCTGATGTCGATCCAGCACTGTGCATGAGAGCTGCAACTCTCCTGGCTCTGTCTCTCCTCACTAAGCAGATTGATAGCAATGGGAGCCATTGGTGCCTGCTCCTGTCAATCAGATCCAGTAATGAGAGAGTGGAGGGCGGGGCCAAGCCTCACTGGCTGTGCCAACAGACACAGACAGGGAGGCTCGCCTGCTTCAATGCCAACATGGAAAGCAACTTTCCATGGGGGCACTGAACAGGGGGGAGGAGCCAAAAATGCCAGAGGTGGACCCAAAAAAAGAAGAGGATCGAAGCTGCTCTGTGCATAACCACTACACACAACAGTTACATATAACATGTTTATTATTTTAGATTTTAAAAAATGAAAACTTTAATATCACTTTAAAAAACTAAATTCCAGGATAAGCAAATATTTTCCAGACGCATGAGGCATGGGTATTATTCCTTGAATATTGGTGTGCTTTGTGAATTTCTTCTGGATCTGTGCAGTAATCCAGTGTGAGACTTCCTGTAATAAAGACCGCTCACTGTTGCTCTCTCTCCTTGTGCAGGGTGACTGGTCTTGTCTCCGCCCCCTCCTGTAGTTTTCTGCAGGCAAACTGTAGTGGGTGGGGCCTGTTGAGTCCCTCCCACAGCTCTGCTGTCTGTGCAGCATATTGATGATGTTCTCACTACTTTTAAAAAGCAATGGCTGAGTTTGCAAATGTATTTGGTCCACATAAAATGTATTTATTTATTTCAGGTACTTATATAGAGCCATCAATTTATGCAGAGCTTTACATATATATTGTACATTCACATCAGTCCCTAACCCTCAAGGGGCGTACAATCTAAGGTCCCTAACTCACATTCATACATACTAGGGCCAATTTAGACAGGAGCCAATTCACCTACCAGCATGTCTTTGGAGTGTGGGAGGAAACCAGAGTACCTGGAGGAAACCCACACAAGCACAGGGAGAACATGCAAACGCTAGGTAGGAGGTGCCATGGCTGGGATTTGAACCAACGACCCTAGTACTGCCAGGCAGAAGTGCGAACCATTTAGCCACTGTGCTGCCCATAATGAATGTTTATTCTTTGTAGGTAATAGGAAATATATTCAGTATATCTATGAATGTTCCTGTGCCCGGAGTTCAGCTTTAAACTAATTGGACATTTCATGTTGCTGTTGCAGGTTAGAACCTGAAGGCCAAATATTGAGCAAATGCTATAAGAAATTACTGTAGTGTCCCTTTTCTTTCTAAATGATACCTCCTGCATTTTATCAGCACCATGGACAGCGATGACATAACACTGAACCACCAGTACAATCAGGTTCAACATTTTAAAGTATTACTAAACCCCGGACCCTGCATTCACTATATCGGTCTCCCCGGACCCTGCATTCACTATATCCAGTCTCCCCGGACCCTGCATTCACTATATCTGGTTCTCCCAGGACCCTGCATTCACTATATCTGGTCTCCCCGGACCCTGCATTCACTATATCTGGTCTCCCCGGACCCTGCATTCACTATATCCGGTCTCCCCGGACCCTGCATTCACTATATCTGGTCTCCCCGGGCCTGCATTACCTATATCTGGTCTCCCCGGACCCTGCATTACCTATATCTGGTCTCCCCGGACCCTGCATTACCTATATCTGGTCTCCCAGGACCCTGCATTCACTATATCTGGTCTCCCACAGTACACAGAACATGGAAATGCAATTATTTTAGTAAATATAAAACTAATAAATACCTTTTCTCATCAGCAGTATATAGCAGACTTGCGACTTCTATCAGTGTCTAGCAGAGCACATGTTAAAGCTTGTAGGAGGAGTTTTCTTTCTGCTCTAGGAGGATGCAGAACCCCTGACCTCTGTCTGGACAGTGCTGATTGACCCTGTGGTGATCACTCTCCCAAGAAAAAAAAATCCTCTCTAGCAATACACACTAAACTGAGCATGTGCAGAGTGACTCCTAGAGCTCTGTACTATCAGCAGATGGATTGGGGACAATAGAAGAAGGGGAGGATCAGAGAAGACAGGATAAAACAGAATTTTTACACAATGCGGAGGATTAACCCCTTAGGTTCCACAGTGAGTATAACAAGCATGCTTTCCTGCATATACAGACTGATTGTACTGTTGGGGGTTTAGTAACACTTTAAGCCTAAATGATAGTTTGTGAGTTGAACTTCTAACAGAATATTATAGAAAGTGGCAGTTATTTATTGTACACAACATGTCATCCAGTTACTGGCGTTGATCTATTTAAATATTAACTTCACCACTTGTAGTTATGCACACTGTCTATATGTGCGCACAGTGGTTTACTAAAGGCAAATAGACTGTGCACTTTGCAAGCGCAGTTACACATTTTCCTTAGTAAATGTCATATGGTAAAGTTTCACTTTGTAAATAATACCCAATCAGGTCTAACCACTCGCCTGCCGGACATTTTCACCCCATTTCTGCCCAGGACAATTTTCAGCTTTCAGCACTGCTGCACTTTCAATGACGATTGCGCGCTCATGCAACACTGTACCCAAATGAAATTTTTATCATTTTTTGAGACAGAGTTTTTTTTTGGTGGTGTTTAAATACCACTGGGGTTTTATTTTTTGCTAAACAAACAAAATAAAACGAAATAAAACAAAATAAAACGTTTATCTTAGTTTTTGTTATAAAATGTTGTAAATAAGTAATTCTTCTTCTTTGCTGATGGGCACTGATGAGGTGGCACTGATGAGGCTGCATTGATACGCGGCACTGATAGGCAGCAATGAAGTGCACTGATAGGTGGCACTGATGAGGCTGCATTGATACGCGGCACTGATAGGCAGCAATGAAGTGCACTGATAGGTGGCACTGATGAGGCTGCATTGATATGCGGCACTGATAGGCAGCAATGAAGTGCACTGATAGGTGGCACTGATGAGGCTGCATTGATACGCGGCACTGATAGGCAGCAATGAAGTGCACTGATAGGTGGCACTGATGAGGCTGCATTGATACGCGGCACTGATAGGCAGCAATGAAGTGCACTGATAGGTGGCACTGATGAGGCTGCATTGATACGTGGCACTGATAGGCAGCAATGAAGAGGACTGATAAGTTGTACTGATAGGCGGCACTGATGAGGCTGCATTGATACACGGCACTGATAGGCAGCAATGAAGAGCACTGATAGGCTGCAATGAAGAGGACTTATAAGCGGCACTGATAGGCAGCACTAATGAGGTGGCACTGATGAGGCTGCATTGATACATGGCATTGATAGGCAGTAATGAAGAGGACTGATAAGTGGCACTGATAGGCGGCACTGATGAGGCTGCATTGATACACAGCACTGATAGGCAGCAATGAAGAGCACTGATAGGTGGCACAGATGAGGCTGCATTGATACGCGGCACTGATAGGCAGCAATGAAGAGGACTGATAAGTTGTACTGATAGGCGGCACTGATGAGGCTGCATTGATACACAGCACTGATAGGCAGCAATGAAGAGCACTGATGAGGTGGCACTGATGAGGCTGCATTGATATGCGGCACTGATAGGCAGCAATGAAGAGTACTGATAGGCGACACTGATGGGCAGATAGATGGCACTGATGAAGAGGCACTGCCAGGTGCACTGATAGGCATTGAAAGGCAACACTGATGGGCACTGAAAGGCAGGGCCGATGGACACTGATGGGGCTGCACTGATGATCAGTGCCCTGATTATCCGTATAGATGTCCCCTGTGTGGATTGCCGCTTACCTGCTCTGTTCTCCTCATGCACTGTTAGCATGAGGAGAGGACTGACGATAACCGGCAAATCCTGTTTACAATGTGATCAGCTGTGATTGGACACAGCTGATCATATGGTAAAGGGCCACAGTAAATCAACCCCAGTGGCCCATCTTCCCTCTAGTTTACTCTTCTCTACTCCACTCCTGTGCTCTCTGTCATCTCTAACTTCATGACTGCTAACAGCTTCCACTGAACAATATATTTCACAACTTTAGTTCTGCATCCAAACGTGTGAGCCATATGATCTGATTATCTTAGATTGTAAGCTCCCAGGATCAGGCCCTCCTAACCCTCTTGTATTGAACTGTATTGTTGCTGTATTGTCTCCCATTATATTGTAAAGCGCTGAGCAAACTGTTGGCACCATATAAATCCTGTATAATAATAATAATATATAAATCCTGTATAATAATAAATATAAATCCTGTATAATAATAATAATATATAAATCCTGTATAATAATAATAATAATAAATCCTGTATAATAATAATATATAAATCCTGTATAATAATAATAATATATAAATCCTGTATAATAATAATATATAAATCCTGTATAATAATAATAATATATAAATCCTGTATAATAATAATATATAAATCCTGTATAATAATAATAATAATATATAAATCCTGTATAATAATAATATATAAATCCTGTATAATAATAATATATAAATCCTGTATAATGATAATAACAATAATAATATTAATAATAATAATAACAATACACTAATTTTACATGCTTTTCACTGTCCTTCTGGGTAGATTTCTTCTATAATTTGGACAGAGCTAGGATCCCGATTTGATGCATTCCATTAATAAAAAAAGCAAACTTTGATCAGAAGCCAATTAACCTACCAGCATGTCTTTGGAGTGTGGAAGGAAACCGGAGTACTGGTCTTGTCTCCGCCCCCTCCTGTGGTTTTCTGCAGGCAAACTGTAGTGGGTGGGGCCTGTTGAGTCCCTCCCAGCTCTGCTGTCTGTGCAGCATATTGATGATGTTCTCACTACTTTTAAAAAGCAATGGCTGTGTTTGCAAATGTATTTGGTCCACATAAAATGTATTTATTTATTTCAGGTACTTATATAGAGCAATCAATTTACGCAGCACTTTACATATATATTGTACATTCACATCAGTCCCTAACCCTCAAGGGGTGTACAATCTAAGGTCCCTAACTTCACATTCATACATACACATACTAGGGACAATTTAGACAGGAGCCAATTCACCTACCAGCATGTCTTTGGAGTGTGGGAGGAAACTGGAGCACCCAGAGGAAATCCACGCAGGCACAGGGGGAACATGCAAACTCCAGGCAGGTGGTGCCGTGATTGGTACATCATCTTTGAATGGAGGAGGGGAGTGGAAAGGGCAGGCAGTGTCAGCACTAACAGGCCCAGCAACCGTACTCAGGCACAGGGAGAACATGCAAACTCCAGGCGGATAGTGCCGTGGTTGGGATTTGAACAGCCTCAGTGCTGTCCGGTGGAAGTGCTAACCACTTAGCCACTGTTCTGTAGAGTGGGTGTACTACCATGTGCCCATTCTCTGCCCCCTTGCTTCAGCTGCCATGGAGGGGATGGAGTGTGTATTGGCCAGCCGCTTGCTTCCTAGCAGATAGAGGGAAGTTGCACATGCACGGTGTGGGGTGGGGAATGGGCATATTGAAGCACAGTATGATAGCAGTAGCTGTCACAGCAGACAGGAAGCCTCCACTCGGTGGTTGCCAGCCACTGATCTGGAGCTTGTGTGCAGTGAGGGGGCGCCCCCTCTTCCGCTGCACCATGGGCAGCTGCCCCTCCTGCCCACCCCTTGTCCCGACCATAAAGATACAGTAACTATTATGAAGGCATATGACTGTAAAAAGCAAATAACCACAACAGACAATACAGAGGGCTTGCGAGTTCGCAATGTTTGCGCTATAATCTTCCCGGCAATAATTCCGTTATCAGAAGATTTCAGGCAAGTGCTAAGGATCGTTAAGATAAACATACAATTGGTTCGAAAATCTCATTCAATGCAAAAGGCAAAAAAATCTTTATCTGTACTTTCATACAGTGCTGCATCCCCAACAAAGATTTGCTGCTTTAATGCAAGTGCTGGAACAAGGATTATACATTTCTACTTGCTGAAGAAGAGAATGGAGATTAGATTTATCCTATTTAGCATCCGTCAACATGCAGAGATCAGCGCTCTGCCGATAGCATTGTTACCCAGGAAAGAAAATGCAAAACGCAGGTTTAACTGTTGAAGCTTTATTCTGAGATGTCAGCCGGGGAGAAACTGTAAATGGAATAAAGTTATTATCATCGCTATAATACAAACACATCTATAACAAAACAAAAAGTCTTCTGGTGTATATATAATCATGCCTCCAGTATCATACGCAGAGATTTAGTTTTACAGCTATCAATAAAGACTTTCTTACCCCAGGTTCACACCTATGCAGGCTGCGTTGGAGGGCCAGTTCACACTACGGGCGTTTCAGTTGCTTTTTTTCTGCATCCAAAACGCACAGAAAGTAGGTGATATGGTGGTCAATGTCATAGTTCACATCAGTGCTTGCAGTTCCAGTGCGTTCCGGTTGAAGAAAAAAAAGTAGAACAGGCTGCATTTTTTCTGCACAGAACTGTACTGGAAAGTGGTAAAACGCATCAAAAACACACCGGGACGCACTGGAACACACCAAAAATGCACTAGAATGCACATGCCCCTAATTGAATTGAAGAAAGACTTTTTTACACTAGGTTCACACCTATGCTGGCTGCGTTTGAGGGCCAGTTCACACTACGGGCGTTTCAGTTGCTTTTTTTCTGCATCCAAAACGCACAGAAAGTAGGTGATATGGTGGTCAATGTCATAGTTCACATCAATGTTTGCAGTTCCAGTGCGTTCCG